AGCTGGAACTACAGGTGCGCACTACCACACCCGGCTAATTTTTTGATTTATTGTAGAGATGAGGTCTCGCCAAGTTACCCAGGTGGGTCTCGAATCCGCAGGCTCAGGCAATCCACTCTCCTTGGCTTCCCAAAGTGCTGGGATTACAGGCTGAGCCACCGAGCCCAGCCAAATTCCAATTCTTCAGGAAGCGCAGACCCTAATCAGCATGTCCCACAACTGTTCCTGGCTCCAAGTTCACAGGGCGAGGTCGTGAAACCACAGATCCAGGCTCCTGTGTCCAAGGCTCCTTCCACTGAAGACACTACCCTGCAGGGATGGTGGGCTCCAGGCAACAGCTAGGCCAGCTGGTTCCCTCCAGCTCCTAGCTTTCTTCTTACAAGATCCACTGGGAGTCCCCAAGCCAGTGTCTGTGTTGTCAGCAGTTTGGTTTATTGGGCAAGTGCCTTCTGAGGCTCATGTTGAGCCAAAGGCTTAATCTTCCTGCTGTTGGGTTTTCCCAGCTTTGGTTGGACATGTGAACTAGGACCCCAAGTGCCAAGTTGTACAGGCATGCTGCCAGCAGCCAGGACTTTGTGCTGGCTCCTCCCCTAGTGCAGGATAGTGCAAGGTGGCACCTGCAGAATGTGTATGACGAGTCTCTTGAGTCCCAAGTCTAACCTGATCCTTTTGGCCACACCTGGGATCTGCCTGGTGCTCCAGCCAGGCCTCCCTACCCCCATGAGCCAGTGCCTGTGGTCCTCTACCTTCCCACCTGCCCATGGCTCCTGGAAGTCCCCAAGTTTCCATCTCCTCAGCCACCCCCAGACCCTTGTTCCACTGAGGAGGATGACAAGGCACAGCTAGTGCCGGTAGGTGGGAAGTCAGGGTCTGTGATGTGACAACTGATCACCAGTTATTGTGATTTACAAGAAACTTCTCTGCTACCCTGTATGACATCCATGCCCACTTCAGCTCTCTGACACCTGCCTCGATTTCTCACAGGCACTCCCCTACCGACCGCAGGCAGTGCTGCCGCTCTGCAGTGGAAACTGCGGGAAGGACCTCATGGAAGCTTCCAGGAGCTGTGAGCCTTCTGTTAGATTTTAAACACCCTCCACCGGATGTAGGCTGAATGGGAGTTGATTTGTTCTGGGAACTCTTTTTTTTTTGAGTTGGAGTCTCACTCCGTCGCTCAGGCTGGATGGCAGTGGCACACTCACAACCACCCCAGCATCGATCTGCTGTGCTCCGGCAATACTTCCGCCTCAGCCTTCCAAGTAGCTGGAACTACAGGTGCACGCTACCACACCCGTCTAATTTATTTGATTTATGTAGAGATGAGGTCTTGCCTGCCCAGGCAGGTCTCAAACCCGTGGGCTCAGGCAATCCACTCACCTCAGCCTCCCAAAGGCACGGGATTACAGGCTGAGCCACCGAGCCTGGCTCTTCCCCTTCTTAAAGGCTCTCTTTCTACTGCTCTACTGGCAATATTAGAGTCACCCTTGAAATTCACAATGAATATGCCTAGTTCCCTGACCCATTAATTCATACATCTACTAAGACAGCATCACTTCTCTAGTATGGAAAGTCATATACCATCAGAGGAACTACATAGATATAAAACTAGTGATAAATGCTATTACAGAAGTGCTTTTAATAAACAGTAGAAGCAGATGGGAAGGAGAAATTAACTCTAATGAACTTGAGGGGGCTAGTTGGGGGAAGTAAGAGGAGCCATCTTCACAATTAGAGGTATTAATTATATTTTACCTTAAAGGATCATCACGGATGGCCCAAAGGGAAAGGTTGTTTCAAGCATATGAAATCGCTTGTGCAAAAACATAACGTATCACTGAACATGGTGCACAGGAGAAATAGCGAAAGATGTAACCCAAGGTAAGATGATGTAGGAGTAAGGGAGAATTAGTAAGAAATCCAAGGGTACGGAAGAAAGCAATTTGGGTGAAGCTGTTTAGGGGAATAACTCAGACTGTAGGCCACTGGTTCTCAAATTGGAGTATTTATCAGTATCATCCGAATAACTTGTTAAACACCGATTTGCTGGATCGTAATCTATGAATGCAAACTGTCTAGGATGGGGCCTGAGAAACTTCATGTCTATAGA